AAAATTCCCATAAAATTCCTATAAAAATCTTATAAAATTCCCATAAAATTCCTATAAAATTCCCATAAAATTCCTATAAAAATCTTATAAAATTCTCATAAAATTCCCATAAAATTCCTATAAAAATCTTATAAAATTCCCATAAAATTCCTATAAAATTCCCTAAAATTCCCGTTTTTAGGGCCAAGGCAGAGGAGCTCCACGCCTGGATCCAGCAGCTCCAATCCCAAAAAACCCCAAAAAACCCCAAAAAACCCCACAAAAACCCCAAATAAATCCCATAAAACCCCAAATCCCATAAAATTCCCATAAAATTCCATAAAATTCCCATTTTTAGGGCCAAGGCGGAGGAGCTCCACGCCTGGATCCAGCAGCTCCAATCCCCAAAAAACCCCAAAAAACCCCAAATAAATCCCATAAAACCCCAAATAAATCCCATAAAACCCCAAATCCCATAAAATCCCATAAAAATCCCATAAAAATCCCATAAAATTCCCATAAAATTCCCATAAAATTCCCGTTTTTAGGGCCAAGGCAGAGGAGCTCCACGCCTGGATCCAGCAGCTCGAGTCCGAGAAGTTCGACCTGAGCGAGAAACTGCGGCGGCAGCGCTACGAGGTGGGGCCCAAAAACCCCAAAAACCCCAAATCTGACCCCAAAACGGAGCCCAAAAACCCCAAATCTGACCCCAAAACGGAGCCCAAAATCCGACCCCAAAAACCCCAAAAAATGACCCCAAAACGGAGCCCAAAAACCCCAAATCTGACCCCAAAACTGACCCCAAAAACCCCAAAACCTGACCCCAAAATGGAGCCCAAAAACCCCAAAACTGACCCCAAAAACTGACCCAAAAACCCCAAATCTGACCCAAAATCCGACCCCAAAAACCCCAAATCTGACCCCAAAACTGAGCCCAAAAACCCCAAATCTGACCCCAAAATCTGACCCCAAATCTGACCCCAAAACGGAGCCCCAAAACCCCAAATCTGACCCCAAAACTGACCCCAAAATCCGACCCCAAAAACCCCAAATCTGACCCCAAAACTGACCCCAAAAACTGACCCAAAAACCCCAAATCTGACCCAAAATCCGACCCCAAAAACCCCAAAACTGACCCCAAAAACTGACCCAAAAACCCCAAATCTGACCCAAAATCCGACCCCAAAAACCCCAAANACCCAAAATCCGACCCCAAAAACCCCAAAACTGACCCCAAAAACTGACCCAAAAACCCCAAATCTGACCCAAAATCCGACCCCAAAAACCCCAAATCTGACCCCAAAATTGACCCCAAAATTGACCCGAAAACCCAAAAACTGACCCCAAAGCCCATCCCCATTTTGGGGTGGATTTTGGGTTTTTTGGGTTCCCGTTCCCATTTTGGGGTGGATTTTGGGTTTTTGGGGTCCCGTTCCCATTTTGGGGTGGATTTTGGGGTTTTTGGGTTCCCATCCCCATTTTTGGGTGGATTTTGGGGTTTTTGGGGTCCCGTTCCCATTTTGGGGTTTTTGGGGTCCCGTTCCCATTTTGGGGTGGATTTTGGGTTTTTTGGGTTCCCGTTCCCATTTTGGGGTGGATTTCGGGGTTTTGGGGTTCCCGTTCCCATTTTGGGGTGGATTTTGGGTTTTTTGGGGTTCCCGTTCCCATTTTGGGGTGGATTTTGGGGTTTTTGGGTTCCCGTTCCCATTTTGGGGTAAATTTGGGGTTTTTGGGGTCCCGTTCCCATTTTGGGGTAAATTTTGGGGATTTTGGGGCTCCCGACCTGACCCCGCCCCTCCCCCCAGATCAACGTGCTCTACAACCGCATCAGCCACGCCCAGAAATTGTAAATTCGGGATTTGGGGA